TTTGCAAGGTTTACGAACCGTTTTGTTTATAACTTTTGATTTTATATGTCAACAAACTTCCATAATTTTCACCATAATTGACGACGGTAACCCTTCCAATTGTGATATAATAGCTAAGAAATATAATAAAATATGAAAAACAATTAGAATCAAAGGCGGTAAAAGCCCATTCACTCCCCTAGCTTTCGTCTCTCAGTGTTAGTGTCGGCCCAACAGAGTGCTTTCGTTGTTGGTGTTCTTTCCGATCTTTACGCATTTAACGAGAAAATATCGGTTCCCTCTCTATCATTTTAGAAATTCCGTCTAAGTTGATAGATTTGGTATGACCTGAGTCTAGGACAGTTGGATAAGCTAGAGAATAGGCATACTTGTTGACGGCATGTTGATTTAATCCTCGCTTGATGTACTAGATTATAGATCTACTGCTGAATCGGAGGATGGAAATTTGTGTATCTGTGCAGCTTGATGGATGATATGGCCTCGTTGAGTATGTGTGATTGAATGCATAATTGATTGTACGTTGACTTCAGTGGATTGAATGTGTGGTTCTCCCGATAGAGAATAATTAATAGAATTGGTTTAAAACTACGATGAAAGTGTCAGTTTGGCTAGACTTTGACCGAGGATGGAATGCTTCCAGTAGTCCGAGCATAGTAGAATGGTGAGAGATGATCAGAGGGTGAGACCCCTATTGCTCCTGACCGATCCAAACTCAGAGAGTCGAAACTGAGAAACCTGGAGACATGAATCCATGTCAACATTGTCAATCCACCCTTAGACCTAGAAGATTACTATGGCAACCTTAGAGAAAAATAAAGGAGTTTTCACATCCCTTTCCACTCTGGTATGGTACCGTTGAGCTAGGTGTGAAGTTGGTTAGGTACGTGTGACTTGAGAGTTTGTCTAGACTACCCTACATGATGGATCCGTCCTGCATTAGAATGTTGATCGTGCGGGTAGTTAATAGAGTTGGCACGTACAAGGGGTAGCGCCCCGACCTTGGGCGACTCCATGGCCTATGGGATTGGTTTGCCAACTACCTCCCATGGATCCTAAAGAAAGTTTGTGGTCTCCTGTTAGGTCAAGTATGGGATGAGAGCTTACAAGTAGCTTGCTTATTGGCTACATTTATATACTCGCCCTGTTCCCCCTTTTTTCAAGTGTTCACAGGTTGTCGGTCGAGGTGGAGGAACATTCTAAAGTTGTGCGGTCACGAAGGGAATAGTTTCTGAGTGTTAGTCCATCTTGTGTTTAAGCCTTTTGTATACTCACCCTACCCTAACTCAAGTTGAGCTTAAGGTTAGCCTCCGGGTTACTTGAAACCAATGACTAACCCTAAAAATTATCTTGAGGTAGCATTTGAGTACTTGAAAATCAAGAACGAACCTAGATCTATTATGGGAGCTTCCTTCTAATTACTTGAAAATCAACGGCTAACTCTAAGCGAACACACCCTGATCATGATACTTGATAAAAGACGCTAAAGTGAGCACATATCATATTAAACTCTTAGACCCTTTAGACTTGTATACATAAATTGTGGGGCTAATCATGGAGGGTATTTTAGTCATTTCTCTTAAGCCTTAACTTATACCCGTAACTTGGTTAGGTCCTAAACTTGATCCGAACTTCTTGAAATCTTAGGTAAACCTTTATGTCCTTAGACATAGGTCTTTCTTAAAATCTTGATTTAGAGTGTTTGAACCTTGAAATGTCTTAAACGAATTGTAGGGGTATTATGGTCATTTTCCACCATAAACTTGGTTCGAGCTTCAAACATGATCCAATGGTTCTAAGACTTTAAATAGTCCTTAAACACCATGAAATAAGGCCTCTTATAAAGCTTCATGATATTTATAGGTCAACTGGGTCACGAATGGAAGGTAGTTTACCATAAGGGCATTATGGTCATTTTACATCATTACTTGGTTTAGTTACTTAACCTTATCCAATGACTACCAAATTTCATTATATAACTTTAATATGTCATGTCATGCATAATATTAAAATTTCATGAGCAACGGAGTTCATTTAGTGAGTTATTCTAACATTACTCCATTTCCAAGCGAAATACACGGTTTAGGTCTTTAATTAACGATTCTTTGTTTATTTATTCCATATTCTTTTAAATATGGCTTAACATAAGGTTAATATTGAAATCCAAATGATTTCTACGAGTATTTTTTAAGAAAAGTCCAGTTTGGCTACTTACCTCTTAGTCGATGTTTGGGGCCTCGACTCTCAAGTTTTCGGTATCCGATTTTTTCCAATTTTTCTTTGATATCTTTTTAAAGGAGTTTAGTTTTTGAAACCCTCGAGAATTTTATGAAAACCACTTTGGAAAGGGGTTAATTTTTAGAAAAACTGAGAGGTCTAAAACGAGTGAAATGCCCCTAATTTTCTTAACCTAACAGTGACGTCACCCTTACGTGCATAAGTCATAATGTGAAAATTCATATTAAATAACTTTGAAAACATTTAACAAATAAGACCATAAATTTAAATGCAAACGTTTATCTTCTCAAATAAAACTCAAACAAAATATCTAGTGCCCTATTATGCCTCCGTTTCATCTTCCATGGTCTTCACAGCAACCATCATCAACTGTGCACGGGAGCCTTGCCTTTACCTGAACAAATTATGGTAGCACGTGGCTTGAGTATTTTATGAAATACTCAGTAAGTCACCCGATTGTTGGGGTTATATATGCAAAGCACATGCAAAACATGAGTGGGACTTAGCTTTTATAAACTATACATAGCCTTAGGCTCTTTTCAGATTCGGGCAGTGTTGGATGTGTGGTACTTCTTCACACACGACTCATATACGTGTACATGGGCCCACCAGACGGGCTTGTATACGTACCCCTGGGCTTGGCCTTTTCGGGCATAACGTATTGCATGTATGCGTCCGTAGAAAAGACCCGCATGATATCATGACGAACATAAATATCGAACGTATGCGTCTGTACTATCATAACATAAAGGGCAAGTATCCCGATGCACATGACATACAAACATGCATGAGATCTCATGATTTACATTACATGACATAATACTTAATACGTTTTATTTTCTTTATGCATTTCATGACATACTCAATTATGCAACGTGTATGCATGGCAACATTCATCAATCCATCACATTCATGACTTACATAACATTCATAGCATTTCTAACTCTTTTCATGGAAACAGTGTAAAGGATTGCATGCATATGTAGTAAACATTTCATAACAATACATAATATAACATTTCACAAATGTTATGGTGCATGCATAACCCACAGGGCATGCACCATCATGCATCATAAAATAGACTAACACCGACAGTAAGGTCACTTAGCTCATTCGCCTTGCCCGAAGTTTACTCACGATAAGATATTCACCTTGTTACTACAACTCCAATGCTTAACTATTTCCTATAAAAACTACTTAACATGCTTAGGGCCTATTCATAACTTAACCAAGCTAAACCTCATGTTTAATTACTGAAGTAAGCTCCTAAAGTAATATGATTTGGTAAATAAGTGTCAAAAAGGTAAAAAACCTAGAATTTGGTATATTATACGTGTATCGAGCGGTGAGAAAAGAAAGAGTTGAGTTGACATTACGTACGCGTGCGAGCCAAGCCGCGTCTGTGCACACATGCGAAGCCGAAGATGCGCGTTTCCTCTGGGTGCGGATCGTGTATCCGTTAGGTTATCACCTCCACTTGGTCCGAAAAAGCTGTGAGCTAGATCATCTAGCCGCGTGCACTAGACCAACGCTTTCACTCGGTCATATACAGAAGGTCGTGGGCTGGACAGTGGGCAGATTGAGTTTTTGGTTGTGAGTTGGGTTGGTATGTGCGCTGAAACCCGATCCGAACCGAAAACTCTTCTTCCTTACTCGAAAACCACGAAAATCCTAAATCGTACTCTACTGGTTTCGATGAAATACGTAGCGATTTCGATGAAACCCAATGCCCTTACGTTCGCTCTTGTCGCAATTTGGTTACCACTCCTTGTTGCAACACACCACGACGTTAGTTCGCTCCTATCCAAGAATCCTCACTGAGAAACTAGAAGCCTCACAACGTCTCCCCCGGTTTCTCTCTTCAAAACCCCTATGTTTTTCTCTCACATACGTAACAATGACATTCAATGAAAAAGATACAACTAATTAGGTATTATAGGGTTTAAGAGTGGGGAATTCAAGGAAAATAAAAACGTTTCTTTCACGAAAATAAATGTCTCGCTGGAAATCACGTGATTTCTTGCGAGATTTCATGCAACATTTAATATTATTATTACTTTTCAGAAACTCGTATCACTACAACTAGGCTCGTCGTCGTCATCTTCCTTTATAAGGAAGAAGACACGCAAGGTCATGGTCGTCGTTACCTGAAAATCCGTCTCTCCAGCTCATTGTAGAGCGTTTCTCCCCTCAATTTCTTCATAAAACTTGGAGATGGTATATCAAGAAAGAGTAAACACACTGGGATTTCTTATTGATTGGTAACCCTCTAGAGTCTCATCATAGTATTATCATAATTATAGGCACTTAATCGAGACATAATGGGTCGGGAATAATAAATTAATACCAAAGACTAGTCTGTAGTATCTCTTTCATTTATATATCATATACAAAATTGCATAGAAAGTGACGAGTACATAACATGGTCATATTGCAAGGGTTGTAGGAAAATTTCGAGCCATCAGGTCCTATTGTTCAGGCGACGACGTTCACCAATCAGTAGTCAGTTGATGACAATTTGTCACGTCGAAATATAAATATAATTTATTTAATTTTTTTTAGATATTAGATAAAATATTTCATTTTTCAAAATTGTCTTATTTAATGGATTTTAAAATAATTTTCTTTTAATTTAATTTGTATTTTCTTATTTCTGTGTACGCTGAGTCAGCATTTTAATTTTCTTTTATAAAAAAATTATTTTTATTTATTATTATCCTTTTTTGTTTTTTTCTTTTAACCATTCTTTCCCAGATTCTGTTATTTTATCTAAACCCTATCTCTCCTTTGGCCGCTGCACCCGCGCCCCGCCGCTCGCCGTTCCTGCTCAGCACCGCCTCATCGACTGCCGCCACACGCTGCACTCTTAGCCGTCGCAATCTCAGTTGTCCCTCTCGGTGCATCCTCCTCCATCCGGCCGTGGCCGATTAGCTGCTGTCTATAACGCTGGCATCGTTTCTACACTTCTCATAATTGTCGGTTCTTTTCCCTCTCTCCCTCATTATATTTTCAGAGATTTGTCTTTTTTGTTACGAAAATGATCTTTAATTGTTGCAGTGAAGACCTGACTCTTGCCGCCGATAGAGTTAGTTAGTTCGTCATGGCGGATGTGATGCTGATGAAAGATATTGAGGAAACGGCTGATCGGCTTGGGATAGATCTCGCCCAAGTTGATTTTGACGCCATTCGTCTCCCTCCCGGCGAGGATTTCGGAATCATTAGGTCAAAACTTTTTTTACTTTTATCGTTTGATATTGTGTATCTTAATTTTCATTTTCCGAGTCTCCTTAGGGCATTTGAAATCTTTTCTTTGATTGTAAGTTTGATGGATTTATTACTTTGTTTTCTGTCTTTCCATGCAATTGCTCAAATTCCTTCGTTGTCTGCAATTATGTATAGTGATGATGAAGAGGTTCTACAAGAGGAGAGTCTAGAGTTTGATTCTGGGTTCGGAAACATTATAGTTGTTGACAATCTTCCGGTTGTTCCTCCGGAGAAGTTTGAGAAGCTCGAAGGTGTTGTTCGTAAAATTTTTGGACAGATTGGAGTTATTAAGGATGATGGCCTGTGGATGCCTGTTGATCCTTCTACACAAAAAACTTTAGGGTACTGCTTTATTGAGTATGGCACTCCACAGGTACTTTCTCATTTTCAAACACGCCCTTTTCTGTCTCTGCTAATTTTACTCCCGAAACTTCATAGATTTATCGTATCGAAATATATGCTAAAGAACGCCATCGAGAACCAATGTCCAATATTATAAATCCTGTTTAAGATTGAAGTAAGTCTCCTATCTTCGCCACCTTTTTTGCTGGCATTCGATGATGTCCAATAGAGCTACAGATACTTGCAACCTCATTATACTTCTTTCTGGCTGGTACTTATCTCTAGTTTCTTTGGATGGAACCGGCAGTACTTTCAACCACCTCCTACCATCGCCTTATCTCTCATTTAGAGATGAATATTTCTATACCAGATGTTGTTTGATGCTATGAATAAATTTACTTGTTTGGCCTAACTTGTTACGTCTCTTTCCTAATCTCTCATTGTCTTGGGTTATTAGTATTATTTTGACATAGCATTTAGTGGTAATATACTCTGTTAGAATGTTCTTGAAATATAAACCTTGTAGCGTTCAGTAAGTCGACTATAAGATAGTTTGATATTTTGAATTTCCACTAGACATGCATTTCATGCGGGAATATGTTTACCTTCATGGAATTCTGTTCCTATATGTTCTATTTCTATCATTTTGCCTGTAAGTTAATTTTTTTTTTTTACTATAGATATTTTCGATTGTGCTTCCAGGTTTTCTGTTGTGATTTTTTTGTATTTAATCTTTAATTCTCTTGTGTGCACTACTGTAGTTCTGCTCCATGATTGAGTATCTCATTTAATTTCAGTCATATTGTAGGAGGCTGAGCTTGCCAAAGAGAAGACTGATGGGTACAAGCTGGATAGAGCACATATTTTCACTGTTAACATGTTTGAGGACTTTGATAGATTTATGAAAGTCCCAGATGAGTGGGCTCCTCCTGAAATCAACCCATATACTCCTGGGGTAAACTATCTGCAATGTTACTTTATTTTTCATCCCCACTGCTTCCTGTGATACATTTTCTCGAGGAAAGATGGGGGTTTTGTGGATCAATGTGAAGGTGGTTAGCTGAACATTAGAATGTATATGGGGAAAAAAGATCCATGGGAGGATATGTGATTTTACAGATCAAATTGTGCTGTCATGGAAGCATGATGCTATTTGCTTTTGAACATTTCAGGAGAATCTTCAACAGTGGCTTACTGATGAAAAAGCACGGGATCAGTTTGTTATTCGTTCTGGTTCTGACACTGAGGTTTTCTGGAATGATGCTAGACATTTGAAGCCTGAGCCTGTCTACAAGCGTCCAGTGAGTATCCTTTAGTCTTTCTCGAGTGTTGACCTTGTTTTTCTAACTAAAGTTACTACTCTCTCCTTGTTCGATTGTTTGGTTGATGTTGGTATACATAGTATTAATAGCACTTAGGTATCTTTGCTCTTGGGTTGATAACCCTAGCTTAATCAAATATTTTTCTGTTACAGTTCTGGACCGAGAGTTTTGTGCAGTGGTCCTCGTTGGGGACTTACCTAGCGACAATTCACCGACAGGGTGCTGCAGTTTGGGGTGGAGCAAGTACCTTCAACCGTCTGATGCGCTTTGCCCATCAACAGGTACCCTATGCTTTTTTCACTCCACACCTGACAGTGCTTGCCAACGCTTGAATGGCCTTAATCTTTTAATATATTAAATGCAGGTTAAGTTAATTGATTTTTCTCCTGGTGAAAAATATCTGGTAACATACAGCAGCCATGAGCCCAGCAATCCTCGTGATGCAAATGTGAGTTTTTTTTCTTCTTATTCCTAGTTTTTAATTTTAATTGAATAACTTTAATAGCTTTGCATCATTGCTGATTATATGTTCTTTCAGAGGATTGTGATCAATATTTTTGATGTGAGAACTGGAAAAGTAATGAGAGATTTCAAGGGAAGTCCTGATGATTTTTCCACTGGAGGAACTGGTGGTGTTGCCGGCTTATCTTGGCCTGTTTTTAGGTATTTATATCTTTGATGGATATGCCTTGTCTCTGTTCCTTTCTGGCTTGTCAAGTTGGTCGGAATATTTTTTTCTTGCTGATGATATAAATGTTATTGTTGTTTTTGCAGGTGGGGTGGTGGGAAAGAAGATAAATACTTTGCCAGGATTGGGAAGAATGTGATTTCAGTCTATGAAACCGAGACTTTCTCTCTTATCGACAAAAAGTCTTTGAAGGTCGAAAATGTTATGGATTTTTGCTGGTCCCCTACAGATCCCATTATTGCACTGTTTGTTCCTGAGCTAGGTGGTGGGAACCAACCGGCTAGGGTGAGTAACTTCTATGCTGAATGTGTTGCTATTCTTTTGATCTGTGAATTTAAATGTTTTCAATGGGCTTCTTTCGTTTCCTAGGTGAGTCTTGTCCAAATCCCGAGCAAGGAGGAGTTGAGACAGAAAAATCTTTTCAGTGTTAGTGATTGCAAAATGTACTGGCAAAGCAATGGGGATTATCTTGCTGTCAAGGTTGATAGATATACGAAGACAAAGAAAAGCACGTACACAGGGTTCGAGCTATTCCGCATAAAGGAGCGGGATATTCCTATTGAAGTGTTGGAGCTTGAGAATAAGAACGATAAGATCATTGCATTTGCCTGGGAGCCAAAGGGGCATAGGTTTGCAGTCATTCACGGTGACAACCCAAGGCCAGATATTAGCTTTTACTCGATGCGAAGCACTCACAACAGTGGCCGAGTGTCGAAACTTACAACTCTCAAAGGCAAGCAGGCCAATGCTCTTTTCTGGTCACCTGCTGGAAGATTCATTCTTCTTGCTGGCTTGAAAGGTTTCAACGGGCAGTTGGAGTTCTACAACGTCGATGAGCTGGAGACGATGGCAACTGCAGAGCATTTCATGGCTACTGATATTGAATGGGATCCTACTGGAAGGTAATTCAGAGGGCATCCATATTTGTACGTTGTTATAAGATTGGATCAGAATGATTTCCCTTGTGGTTACGACAGCTGAGTCGGTCTCGTTGTTTGCATCTGTACAGGTACGTTGCAACTGCTGTAACTTCAGTCCACGAGATGGAAAACGGTTTCAACATATGGTCCTTTAATGGAAAGCTCCTCTATCGAATCTTGAAGGATCACTTCTTTCAGGTAACTTATCGATTATATTCTGCAAATCATATGTTTTTGTTTATGGTCCTGTGGGTTTATACTGTAATAATCGTTCATGAATTTGTATGCTTGCAAAAACTAGATCGATCAAGTTTCTTTATCTTAACGAACTCTTTGGTCATCGTTAAATTTCTAATTTTTCGAATGGCAGTTCGCATGGCGACCAAGGCCACCATCCTTCTTGACCCCGGAGAAAGAGGAAGAGATAGCTAAGAATTTGAAGAAGTACAGTAAGAAGTACGAGGCTGAAGATCAGGACGTATCTATGCTACTGAGCGAGCAGGAGCGCGAGAAACGAAGAATGTTGAAGGAGGAGTGGGAGAAGTGGTTGAATGAATGGAAGAGATTGCACGATGAAGAGAAGCTGTTGCGACAGAAGCTTCGGGATGGTGAAGCCAGTGATGAAGAAGAGGAATACGAAGCCAAAGAGGTCGAAGTCGAAGAGATTTTGGACGTGACGGAGGAAGTTTTGTCGGATGATTTTGATCAGGAATGAGGTTGTTGACCCAAACAACCTTATTGCAGGCATGAAATTAGGTACCTTCTTCCTGCCTTAGACCTCACCAATTACTCAAAATGCAACTTGGGAATGTCCTTCAAAGTTTTAAGTTTTGTTTTGGATGCCTTATTTGTTTGTTATGATATTATCTCACGTCAGTAACTCAGTTATATAATGTATTTTTTATTCTCTTTTAGCCATTTTTAGCTCAAAATTAAGCTCTTCAACCCCAAACGCCCTGCATCGACACGGGATGTATTATCGTCACGGTGCTGCAACCATCGACGGGATGGATGTATTCTTTTGAAAAGGATTTGGGGGATAGATATCTCTTTGGTTGATATGTTCTTATGAGGTATAGTATCGAGATAAGAATTGAGATGTTTCTGGTTGGTGATTTGAGCATAGGAATTTATCAAAAAGTAGCAATGATAAGTGTTAAAGCACTTTTGCTCATTTTCAGCTTCTCATGGACGCCAAGTGGAATAAGACATCTCTTCGTTTGGCCTAAGCTATGAGAATCGAATGTTCCAAATCATTCATTTCTAAAAGATTTTGAATTAGGGGTGGTTGAAAGACTCGAGAACTCGAATAATTTGGACTATTCCAGTTGGGTTGGGTTAAATTATTTTTTCGATTTGGATTGGATAGATTTTTTTTTGAAAATTGAAAATTTAGGGTCGGTCGGCGGGTTGTATATATATATATATATTTTTTTGTTAGATTAAACCAACCAATTGGAAAATAGGGCTAACGAAAATTAATAACATTTAACCTTTGTAATTGAAATATTTATGAGATTTTAGTTATTAGTCTAATGGATATATATGAATTTTTTTTAATATTTTTTTAAAAAAAGAATAATCTGACGTCTCACTCCAATCCAACCCATGTGCACTCTCATGCATCATTTGAGTATTTACGTCTAAACATAATACAATGTCTCACTCAAATATGACATGGGTTCCGAATATCAACATTGAGTTCTACCGAGAGATAAATATTACGAGGGGAGAGAGTTGAATTGTTGTTGACAAGCCTCTTTGGTATGTTCTATTACGAGCCTCTTTGGTATGTTCTAACCGAAACTTTCTTTACAAGATCTTCCTATGATTCTAACACCTTTAGTTTGGTTTGTGGGAGAGTCTTGAAAGAACAAACAACTAGAATTGCTCATATATGACTCTATGACTAAACCCTAATGTCTATTCTATATATATATTTAATCAATTTGAATCTTATTTTATTCTAACTTGGGCTGCTGTTCCAAATTTATGATGCAATAATTTAGACGGATAATTTACTTTTGAGTAAATTTTAACCAGTTATTTTTCTCTTAAGTAGTTTGAAATTAATTAATTTTATTTAATTAATTCATTAGTATTTTGATGATAATAAATATTCACTTAATTACTAAAATTACAATGATTTGAAGTGTCTACCGTGCATAACTTGGAATAACAATTTCAACTAGTTTGAATCACTCAAATTAGAGCTAAAACAAAAAGCTATTAAGTCGAAGAAGCTACGAGTGAAACAACGTTAGTAGTGTGATATCTCACATTTGTTGGGGAGGAGAACAAAACACCCTTTACAAGGGTATGGAAACCTTTACCTAACAGACACGTTTTAAAAATCTTGAGGGAAAGTTCGAAAGGGAAAACCCAAACAGAACAACGAACTTGAACTGTTACAAGTAGAAAATGCTTGACAAGATGACGTGGTGGCTCAGCTTCATTATTTTCAATTTTCATTCTTTCATCGTATACTCAGACAGATACAGATACAAATATATATTTTGAATCACGAATATAACGTTGTGAGTACTCAAATTTGTATATATACTCATTAATAGAGTTGAGCTCGAGTGAGCGCTTCACTTGAATGGGTTGTGAGGCTGACAACGATACGTAACGAGCCAAAGTGGATAATATCTACTAGCGGTGGGTTTTAGCTGTTATTTGACCCGTTATGTCGTAAACCTCATAGTTTTAAAACGTTTCGTTTACATCTCGAACCAATGTGAGATCTCACAATCCACTCCCTTTAGGGTTCAACCAATGTTTTAAAACGCTCCATTCCCATCTTTCAACCAATGTGGGATCATACAACGACGTCTCTAATCTAGATAAGAAAATTAGGGACGTTACAATAACATGACATAACAATCATAATTATGAAACGTGCAAAAGCCACAAGACATGCGTCATCATACATAATACAATTCATCCAATCAAACCAACAATAGAATCACTTACTTGTTTAGCTTAAGCCGGAGTTGCTGAATACGCTTGGTACTAGCTTAAAATGGTCAAATCCATCATCTTGATGATATTAGTTAAAACAAAACAACTACAAAGATCGGTCACCTTGTAGTCCAAATGAAATATCTCGATATATCTGTTCTATCTCCGTTTCATATTTAGTCAGTGAATATAGAATATGGTATTCGTTTATGGTGAAAAGAGTTGAAAGGAAGTTGTTAATGATAGATTATCGAGAGATACAGGTAAGAGAAATTTCGATTCGAGATTTAATAGTTGGTCTATTCTTAGTCCGAGTAAGGCCCATCTTGTTGCTATATGTTTTAGCTAATGTAATAACGATACTACAAAATGGTCTCTTCTAATAGACAATTATTCCTTTGCCAATGTGACCTACAGATCTGTTCGGTATTCTGTAATCAATTCTCTCTACGGTTGGGGAAAAATCTTAAAATAAACTATTGAAAATTCAATTTGAATACGAGTGTTCATATAATGGAAAGCACCTATGGCCTAATGGATAAGGCGTCTGACTTCTAATCAGGCGATTGTGGGTTCGAGTCCCACTAGGTGTGCATTAGTTTTTATATCTAAAGTTAGAGTTGTCGGATTATTTTTTTTTATTATTTATAGTGTTGTCGGGTTGTTTATATTTGTAGAATTATGAGTTACCATTCAAACGTTAAAGATATTTTAATTAGTACGAAAAAAATCATATTTATCTCATAGTGAGAGTTGTCCAGTTATTTTTTTTAATATTATTTATAGAATTATTTTATATTTTATATTATAATTACGAAACATTCACGAGCTACAATGCATCACTAATATCGATTATAGGGTCGTTTCAAATTATTTCTTAAAAGGATGTAGCCTCTTCCTCGTAAAGACGTTTTAAAATTAGAGAGGGGAACAAATCATTTCTTAAAAAGGTGTAGTCTCTTCTTAGTAGAGACGTTTTAAAATTGTGAGGCTGACAACGATACGTAACGGGTAAAAATGGATAGTAAGTTGGTGTGAGATTTCATGTCGATTGAGAGGGGAACAGATCATTTCTTAAAAGGGTGTAGCCTCTTATTAGTAGAGACGTTTTAAAATTGTGAGGCTGACGCCAATACATAACGGGCCAAAGTGGACAATATCTACTAGTGATTGGTTTGGGGTGGTGCTTGGCCTGTACTAATCAAAGTATAAGCTGATATGAGATCCCATATCTCATATAAAGTCTCTCTCTAATAGACGCGATTTAAAACTACGAGGTTGAGCCGGAACGGGCTAAACTTGATAGTATCTATTAGCAGTGGGTTTGGGCTGTTACTTGGCTCATGGTTTTAAAATGCTTCGTTCCCCTTTCTAGCCAAGGTGGGATTTCACACTCCACTCCCTTTGGCGTCCAACCCATATTTTAAAACGCTTCGTTTCTCTCTTTCAACCAATGCGGGATCATGAAGTGACGTCTCTGACCTAGGTAAGAAAATTAGAGGCGTTATAATAACATAGTACAACTTTTCATAGCATGACATAACAATCATAATTATGAAACGTGTAGGAGCCACAAGGCACGCGTCATCATACATAATACAATTCATCAAACCAAGCCACTTACTTAGTTGACTTAAGCCGAAGTCACTGATTATACTTGGTACTAGCTTGAAATTATCAGATCCATTTCGATGATATTAGTTAAAAAAAACGACCATAATAATGATATTAGTTAAAACAAAACTACTGGAAAGATCGACACCTTGTAGTCCAAATGTTGCAATAAAGAAATATCTCAATATATCCGTCCTATATATATATATTCAAATCAAATTTATTGCTTCACATTTAAATTTTATTAAATATTTAATAAATTTTTAATAGTATAATTTAGATTCTTGGAATATAAATATGCCCAAGGAATATAACGTCTAAACGTACCATTTTACCAATACTTTGTAGATTTTTTTCTTTATTTTCTCCCCCATTTTTGCTACCATCAATTTTCAACTTCATTAGAACATAAAAATTATTTAATATCTTTTAGATTTTATAACAAAATTGATGAAATTTTGACGAAAAGAAAAAAGGAAATTGACTTACAGAACCGTCTCTTCTGACATCGCTAACTTAATTTATAGATCGACCCATAGCCTAATAGATAAGGCATCGAATGATTAAATAGTGAGATGCGCCCATGGCCTAATGGATAAGGCGTCTGACTTCTAATCAGGTGATTGTGGGTTCGAGTCCCACTAGGCGTGTATTCAACGTATGACTCTTTGTATGACCCGGGCCTAACTGATAAGGCATCTGTCTTTTTAATCAGTCGGGTGTGGGTTTGAGACCACTCCCCTCTCTAATGAACAATTGGTTTGTGATCCAACCACCAAACCGAATCTCTCTTAGGGCAATGAGAGGGTGGACCCCTTGTTCAAGACCTAGGGTCAGTACTCAAGGGAACAACCTCTCTACTATCCCTAAAAGCGGGTAGAAGTGAATTCCATCTTACACCCTATGTCCCCTAGCCTCCACTCACATGTCTTCAAATGTACAATCATTACACCCTATGTACCCTATGTCCCCTAGCCTCCACTCACATGTCTTCAAATGTACAATCAGCCTTATTCTTAGATCATTTTGACTATATACTTGAACTTGATCCACTCTTATGTCTCTACATATAGTTCAAGTAATCATACGAATCAGCCTTATTCTTAGATCATTTTGACTATATACTTGAACTTGATCCACTCTTATGTCTCTACATATAGTTCAAGTAATCATACGAATCAGCCTTATTCTTAGATCATTTTGAGTATATACTTGAACTTGATCCACTCTTATGTCTCTACATATAGTTCAAGTAATCATACTATAGCCAGAGTGTTCTTAGTTTATTGGATTTAGATTAATGATCGTGAAATTCATTTTATTCAATAACGATCTTTACT